AGGTGTACACAAAATTTTTCATAAGTGATGTTGCGTATAAAGTAGTGAATAAATGAATAGATATAATAGGAATGCTATTTTGAAAAAAAGATTCAAATTATATTAGTATAATGCAATGAAAAACAATACTATAAAATCGTAGATGAATTTGTACTTTTTGAAATGTATTTATAAAGCCTCATATAGCACTATATATTTTTTAATATAAGGCACCATACAATCACTCAAATTTAAATAAGTTTTAAGGAACTTACAATAATTCTGAAGATGTGGTTCCGCCTCATTAATTCTTTCTTCCAGGTTAAATGAACTTTCAATTGTTAAACTTGATTTTGAAAGCTTAAAAGGCACTTTACGAAAATGTCCCCTGCAAAACTAAAGTTGAATTACAAATTAAAATATTAATTAAAATAACTCCTAAATAATTCCACGAATTCAATTCACAAAGAATAATGTCTTCAAGAAATTCCACTAAAAAGAAAAGGAAAGGAAAAAAAATAGCAAAATAGCTTATAACGGAAAGAGCATCAAACAACATGCCATGCTTGAATAATATTAGCATGCTTTGAACTGCTGATTGCACTGTTAATAAATGGAAGTAAGCTTTTGAAAAAATACATATGTAAAATGTGGAGATTCGACCCCCTTAACCTCCAACTCTAATTTGCCTCCTTAACCACTGGACCAAACGTGCTTCTTTGTAAATACAATCATTTTGTTGTTTATAACGGCTTATTTAGAGTATTATATATTTAATAAAATATATGTTTAATGAAGTTTTCACGAAGCGTTGTCGGATGGCATCATCCGCCCTTGTGCTACTCTATTATGATATATGATGGATGTTGACATAACATAAATATATATATGTTTCTAATTTTCTTTTTAGTTTTAGATACATAATAATTTGGCGAATAGCAGTGAGCTAGCTAGTACACTTAAAAATAAATGCTAAAAATGATGAATGTGTCAATACATAAGATGGTATAGAGGTCTAATTAGAGTAAGGCAAGAAATGACACAAGACCATGTGGATGGCTGTGTATATAGAGAACAAAGGTCAAGTGTTATATCTCAAAACTACCTAACATGTTGACCACTTGGGACAAATCCACATGAGGGTTTTGACAAGATCCATATGCTTACCTAATTAAATTGATTGATTTTTATGGGCATTTATCAAAGGTCTGCTACAAGAGCTTCATGTCCACATGATCTTGGAACATGCCACCAACACATTGGTTTTCCCCTTATTGACAATGGCTAGGAGACATGCTTGAGAATTGCCCCAAACCAACACTTTGAAATGCCATGTATTTGACCAAAACCTATGTATGTACATGTTTTTGACAAAGGAAAAAAAATATAAAACTATTGTTTTTTTGCACTTTGTCCATTGCAAGCTTAATCTTTTGACTCGGTTTGATTGCATAATTAACATTTTGTTCCCACAAATTTGATGATTTGAGCGCACAGTGCATTATCTTCTCCCCTCCACGTTATATACATTCTCACTCAAATCAATAAACTTGGAATAGAAAGTACTAGTGTTATATATAGATATATGTTTAAATATTACATTTAGAAGATAACAGCTGCTATACCACTTGTTGAACCAAACCTTAACCAATTATATAAAGATTATATTTTCCATTTAATAGTATAGTAATATTTGATAATTATCTTATAAAAGTAAAAACATATAACCAAAATATATTTTTGATTAAGCGAAAAGACATGACGAGTATTTACGCTAAAAATTTGTCATTTCAATTTATTCTAGCTAGGGTTGCTACAAGAGTAACATGACATATTTTTATGGATGCAAGTAGTCTACATATAACATCAAGATAGATTAAACTTGATCAGACTTCTATTGAAGATGACACCCTATTGTTTGTTAAAGTAAGCCTAGTTCCTATTGTCTATAGATTGATAATTTGCATTTTATTGCTTTCAGTTGAATGGACTTCTACTGATTTCTACCACTATGGATGCCTAAAGATGCTAGTGATTCCTAAAGCTTGCTCTCTATCTCTCCTCAGTTTTCTGATGTTCCTTTTCTGCTTTCTAAATCTAGCCCAAATAATGACCTTCTTATTATATATATACTCCATTCTATCTATATATTGTTTTAGGGAAATTTTCATAAATCACTATCTTTTAGTAGTAATTAGCCATCTATAGATATCATTTGCTATATTACTGATTATAGATACCTTTTATGTGGTTATATGGTGTATTTGATGTATTTAAGCTATTCTATTCATGAATACAATAACAAAAATATGCGTGAATCAGGGAAATCTAGTTAATCAGTTGTTGTATTCGAGTGTATTCGACTATATTCATGGCGTGAAACATGGGATTACGGCTGGACAGATTACTGTATTCACGGCGTGAAACATGGTTTTTTAAACGGAAAGTGTATCAATTAACATAATAGACTACTAATATAACTCAACAAACTCAATTATAACACACAAAATTTGTATTTTCAGTTATAAAAAAGAGTCTCAACTGGAAAAAACCCAAAAAACATAGCAATCTTCCGAGAAATTATATAATACATCCGAATACATAAATTATATTAATTGAAAAAACATATGAATACATAGAATACATTAGGATACATTGAAATACAATTAAAAAAAGACAGTGAATACAATGAAATACATGGAATACAACGAGATACATTGAATTACAATGAAAAAAAGATAATGAATACAATGAAATACATGAAAATACAACGTGATATGTTGAAAATACATTGAAATATATTAAGAGAAAATCAAGTTGCTCAGCCCCAAACTCTGTCGTCTTTGCTCAACAACAAACCCTAATTTTCGCCTTGTAGCCAAATAGTCCTTCCATCTTCAAAGATCTTGCACGCTCAAACCTAGAGGAAGTGACTGCTTCAACTTGCCGGCCTTCTCAAAGTCGGACACACAGAGCGTGTAGAGGTACTTGGAGTAGCGAACCTTGAATTTGACCATATCCATATTCTTCTTGATCTTGACAGATCGTGTATCCTTCCTTAAACTAAAGTTTTTTGGGGTAAGCATAATAAGTATATATGGAGCTGTCAAATTTGTTGAACCAAATTAAACTAAATACTTAGCGAAAAAGAATGATGGTTTGAGCTTGTTTTTGTGGGTTTGGGTTTGTTGTTGCTGTGCATTAGAAGGAGGAGAGCGAAAATTTTAATGGGATGGGGGAAGAGAATGAGATGTATCAGAGTAGAAAGAGAAAGAAAATAGTGTAACTAAATAGCGTATTTAGTGGCTTAGGGGTAGGAGGTAACCACAATTAGATATTTTGCTATAAACATTAAAAGATATCTATAGAATATTATTTTTTTAAATGGTATTTATTTAAAATAAATAAGGTGTTAACCTTTTCTATAGGAGGTACCTGTTGTTTGATATCCCTATAGGAGTCCGACTAATCCGAATTCACACCAGAAAGTCCCGTATTGAATGTAAAAGGCTCCCTAACAAAGGTAATTCCATACCAAAATTCGAACCCGAGAACTGTATAGCACATCATGACGCTGTAAATTTTAAAATAAAGCAAATCAATATCATGAAAGTTTGAATTGGAGAAAGTGAAATTAGCTTTTAAAATTTGTTAACATTGTAAAAGGAAAATAGGATAGTCTTTAGATATTAATTTCTCTTTTATAAAGGGACGAGGACTTCTAATATATTAGTCCTAAAGCATAGAAGATAACAAACACAGATAACCAAGGTTGGTATATATAGATGCACATAGGTGGCTGAAGAAAGGAAGCATGAATAAAATTTGTGAAAGCCACATCTGCCTCTGTGCTCATGCTTCTTTACTAGCAGAGTAAAAAAAAAATCCACATCTTAAATTTCTTCTAAAACGAATTTAAAATACACTAGAATATAGGATGTATTTATATGAATTATGAATATATACTAAATAGCTATGAAGCATTAATAAATTGAAATAATTCATTTCATATGATCCGCTGGCAATTATTTAGATGAAAAGCTAATAAATTGAAATAATTGATCTTCATTATCACTTGACAATTATTTGACATCAATAATTGCATATCCACAGTACCATCTAGTATATGATTAACAATGGGAGAAATGTTGTGGCGGATCATATATTATTATGCACTAACAAAAGATGGTTAAATGGATTATCCTCTGTGTGAAAATCACCCGATCTACATTTGCCAAAAAGTTGGCCAATCTTAATGTTATGGGATGGCATAGCAAAAGCAATGAACTGAAAGAAAATAGGGAATCAGTCCAGTAAGGCCCAACTCAGCAAGGAGTAGTGGCCAGTTAATTAGGCCCAGTTAATGGTACATCTTTACGTAAATGATAAATTGAATGGATCTTTACACATATTGCCGATCATATTCATTATTAACTTTTTCTAGGGTAGAATTAAAAAATAGCCAGATTAACAAGTGGTCATTCAAAAAAAGCCACAGTTTCAAAAGTAATCGAAATTTAGCCACTTTTCATGTAAAGATAAATCTGAATAAAAATACTATTCAAAATCCGAAAAATACTCCAGTATAATATACTAGAATTCCAGTAAAATATACCGAAATTTCAGTATATCTGGAGTTCCAATATAATATATTTACTACAAGAAAGTATAGAATTGGCAAAATTTTTGTATAACAACAATAATATTGTTGCAAAATACAGTAAATGGCGACAACTTCATTTAGTTGTCGCTATACCATAGAATTTTTACCCCATAATTTTTTTCCCCGTATTTAACAAATAATATATATAAACCAGCAACGACTTTTTACCAACAATACTACGGTTGTTGGCTAAGCTTAATAAATGGCAACAACATGATTAGATTGTTGCTGTAGCATACAATTTTTAACCACAATTTTTTTTCTTGTTACCAAATATTTTAGATTCTCCTTACTATATTTCAGGAGTAATATAATAAATATAAAATATAAAACTTAATTTGCAACAACGAATATTAGTTGTTGCTAAACATAAAATTTTCTCAACAACTCCTCTTAGTTGTGGCCTAAAATTTAGTAAATTACTTTTACTTTTCTGCCAAAACAGACGCGTCAAAATAGGTTTTCCCTGTTCTATTACTTTTTCCCCAATTCTTAGCGTGCAATTTTAGTTTCCACTCCATCTAGATTTTCTCTTTTCATTATTCCTAAACTAAGGTCTTGCATCTGGCATGTTCAATTCTTCGATCTTTTCCCCTGTGTTCTACCCAAAATCTGGTGAGTTCTCGATTTTAATTTCGTTTCTTCTCAATGTCTGGTGCTTTCAGCTTTTGATTTAGTTTAATGCATATTCTTCTTCTTAATTTGCAGTACCAATGGACTCAATTCTGTTTTTTTTTCTTTTTATGATAAAACTCAAAATTTTTGGACTAGAAAAAAGATGAGAATTGGAGAAGATAGGATTTATGAGAAGAGGATTTTGATACCTCAAACTGAAGTTTCTCTTGCTGCTATTAGCGGCGTATTTTCTACTTGAAGAAAGTAAAGCAGCTTTGATTTTCAATGTTTTTACTTTTCTGAAAAAGTTTGTAAATCCTGTCCTTAGTATTATTTTGTTAGTTTTTGCTTTGTTTCTTTGTTTCTTTTAAGTTATGGAATTTGTAAGTTGAAGTTGCAATAGAATAAAATTTTTAGACGTGATTAATTTCTTCTTTAATGGTATCCAATTTCACTTGCGAAATAACAAGTTTTTTTGTTGGATTCTACTGTATACTCATAATATTGAAGATGTTAATAATGTACATTTTATTATAGTTAATAATTGGCGTCTTGGGTTGAGCCTGAGTATGAAGTTCGGGTGGAAATCTGCATAATAATTGGTGTCTCGGGTTGATCCTGAGTATGAGTTCGGGTGTAAATCTGCATAATCTTGAAGATGTTAATAATGTGCATTTTTTAATTTTTAATCGGTGATCGTTCTTGCATTGTGGCCATATTAAATTGTATTTGCACCATTAATAGCAGCGAGAGAAAGTTAAATATATAGTTTTACAATTCTAATTATATAGTTTTATATTTCTTGTTTTCTATTTCATTGTACATAAGTATATGATGGATAAGAATTGGCTACTTATTAAGAATAGGACAACACTAGAATACTTGAATGGTGTGGAATATTTTTAAATTTTACATTTTCTAATCCTGAGGTTGGTGTAAGAATTCAGTGTCCGTGCATTAAATGTAATAATGTGCTTAGAAAATCGCGCGATGATATGAAGATGGATTTACTTAGGTGGGGAATAGATCCGACCTATAATAGGTGGATTTATCATGGCGAGTCGGATTCACCTTCAAATGATGAAACAAATTTTAATACAGATTCAAATTTAGGGAATGATGATGCTCGCACTTTTGAAATGTTGCATGACATGTATCATGGTATTCCTTCTAATACTCGTGAGTTTGATAAGACCACCGAGTCTAGGTACGAAGAGCCAAATGTAGAAAGCTAAAAGTTTTTATAGGTTATTAAAGGATGTAGAGCAAAAGTTGTATCCAGATTGTGAAAAGTTCTCTAAACTCTTATTTGTAATGCATCTTTTTTAGATGAAGTGTCTACATGGCTGGAGTAATACTTCTTTTGACTCTTTATTGAAATTATTGAGTGATGCTTTTTCCCAAACGAAATTGCTCCCTAATTCTATCTATAAAGTTCAAAGATCATAAAAGACTTGGGTCTAGAATATGTGAAGATAGATGCATGTGTTAATAAATTGTATTTTATATAGAAAAGAATATGTTAATCTTGAGCAATGATCTAAGTGTAGTGAAAAAAGATGAATAGCAAGGAAAGGAGAAGATATTGATGATGAAGTTGCTTCAAGAAAATTGAATAAGAGAAATAAAAGAATTTCTGGAAAGATTTTTAGATACTTTCCTTTGATACCAAGATTAAAATGATTATTCATAACAAAACAAACTGCGGAAGATATAAGATGTCATAAAAATAAGAGAGTTGATGATGAAGTATTAAGGCATCCAGCTGACTCATTGGCATAGAAACTTTTGATGAAAATCATTCAAGTTTTGCTTCAGATCCACGTAATGTAAGACTTGGGCTTGCTTCAGATGGTTTTAATCCTTTTGGTTCGATGAGTAATGTATATAGCATGTGGCCAGTAGTTTTAATTCCATATAATCTTCCCTCGTGGCTATGCATAAAACAATCTAATATTTTGTTATCCTTGCTTATTCCTGGACTAAAAAGTCCTGGTATGAATATCGACATATACCTCTAACCCTTGATTTATGATTTAAAAACCTTATGGGAGAGTGGAATTGAGACTTATGATGCTTTTAAGAAATAAAGTTTTTATTTGCATGCTGCTTTGTTGTGGACAATTAATAACTTTCCAGCTTATGGTATGTTATCCAGTTGGAGCACTAAAGGTAAATTAGCTTGTCCAGTTTGTCATGTACATGCTTGTTCCATTTACTTGAAACATGGTAGAAAATGTTGTTATATGGGTCATCGTAGGTTCTTGGAGATAAATCATCCTTATCGCCGTAATAAAAGTTATTTTGATAATACAAAGGAATACAGACCTGCACCACAAGCTTTGAGTGAAGATGATGTTCTTGCACAACTTAATACATCTTCACAAGGGTTAGTTAGTGGCAACACAAAAAAAAAAAGAGATGCCGAACAATGTGACAATTAGAAGAAGAAAAGTATATTTTTTGAACTCCCATATTGAAGGACTTTATTGTTGAGGTATAATTTGAATGTAATGCATATCGAAAAGAACATTAGTGAAAGTGTGATACGGATTGGAGTATCCATCATTTTGGGTGTATTATGCATTATTATTGCTGCAAAGTGGAGTCAAGAAGACTCGTTGTGATAAAAAGCTATGGTTTAGTAGGCGAGACCAATGAAAAAATTCTAATGACTGTGTTCTGGTTGCTTCCACAGTATCTCCTTCTTGGGGAAGTAGAAGGAATGTTTGCAAAGAGCTTTAATTGTTACTACAGTGGTTACTTTGATCCCATATCTGCGTCATACATTGTGATGACCCAAAAGGTCATCACTTATTTTAGAAATGAATTTTACGTTCTGAGGCCTTAAAGACCTCTTTTAGCATTACCTTAATTTGCGTGCGCAGTCCGGGTGCGTTGCCGGAAAGCCATTATGTAAAAATTTGTGAAAAATGATAAATTTTGACTTAAAAATGAATTTAAGTTGACTTCGGTCAATATTTTGGGTAAACAGACCTGGACCCGTGATTTAACGGTCCCGGAGGGTTCGTAGGAAAATATGAAACTTGGGCGTATGCCCAGAATTTAATTCCGAGGTCCCAAGCCTGAGAAATAAATTTTTTAAAGAAAATTATTTTCTGAAATATTTATGAGTTTTTAAAGATGGAATATGTTTAAAACTTGATGGTATCGGGCCCGTATTTTGGTTCCGGAGCCCGGTACATGTCTTATATGATTTAAGATGAATCTGTCAAATTTGGTAAGAAACGGACTTGAAATGGCGTGAATCAGACCGTATTTGAGAAAATTGGAAAATTTGAAGTTCTTAGGTGATTTCATGATTTTGATGCTAAATTCATAGTTGTTGATGTTATTTTGGTAATTTGATCACACGAGTAAGTTCATAGAGTGTTTTTGAGTTAGTATGCAAGTTTGGTTTGGAGCCCCGAGGGCTCGGGTGAGTTTCGGATAGGTTTCAGAAGGTTTTAAACTTGGAAAAAATTGCAGGTGTTAGTTTCTGGTGTTCTGGTGTGTTGTTCTTCGTGTTTGCAGAAGGACTCTCGCCAACGCAAAGGGTAAGTCAGGCTGAAGGAAACTTCCTTCTACGCGAACGCGAGAAACAGAACGTGAACGCGAAGCTTTGAGGGTGTTTCCCTTCACAAACGTGGGCCTGCTATCGCGAACGCGAAGGCTCTTGGGCCTGGGTAGGGGAGAGGGATTTTACTCTATGCGAACGCATCCACACGACCGCGAACGTGAAGGCTCTAGGGGATGAAGCTCCGCAAACGCGAGCCTTTTATCGCTAACGCGATGGTTAATTGGGCCTGACCCATCGCGAACGCGACAAACCCATCGCGAACGCGATGAAGGTCTGCCCAGTGATTTTAAAACAGAAGCAAAAACGGGATTTAACCCAAAACTCATAACTTCTTCTTCCAAACTTCAAATTGGGCGATTTTTGAAAGAGAACTTCACCACAAGTTCATAGGTATGTAATGACTCATTTTATTCAATTTTCATTGACCCTCATTAGATTTCTAGGCCTAAATCATGTTCTTAAGGGTAGAAAATTAGGGATTTGGGTAGAGTTAGGGTTTTTTGTATAATTGGAATTTAGATCTTATTTTGGGATCAGATTTCGAAACTAATTACATATTCGTGAATGGGTGATCAGGTTTTGGTCCAAACCACGTGTTTTGACCAAGCGGCCCAGGTCGATTTTTGACTTTTGGGAAGAATGATAGGAAATCCATAACTAAGCATTGGAATTGAATTGTTTAGCGTTTATTGATGTCATTAAGTTGATTATGTCTAGATACACTTGATTTGGAGTCAAATTCAAAAGGAAAAGCGGTGTTTGAGGCTTGAGTTGGCCGTGGAAGTTCGAGGTAAGTGTTTGGTCTAACCTTAGTGTGACGACCCAAAAGGGTCATCACCTGTTTCTAATTGAAATCTGTGTTTTCGAGGCCCTGAAAACCTCATTTAGAGTCGCCTCGATTTGTGTGCACAGTCCGGTCGCGTAGCCGGAAAGCTTAAACGTGAAATCTTGTGAAATTTCTTAGTTTTTATCTCGAAATGAATAAGTTTGACTCCGGTCAATATTTTGGGTAAATGGACCCGAACCCGTGATTTGACGGCCCCGAAGGGTCCGTAGGAAAATATGGGACATGGGCGTATGCCCGGAATTGAATTCCGAGGTCCCAAGCCCGAGTTATGAATTTTTTAAGTGAAATTGTTTTCTGAAAATGTTTAAAGAAAAAAAAAAAGAAATTTGAAATGAAATTTGATCAGAACGTGTTGGAATCGGGCCCGTATTTGGGTTCCGGTACCCGGTACAGGTCTTATATATGACTTGAGTTATTCCGGTGAAACTTGGTTGAAAACGCGATCCGGACCCTAATTGGGAAATTGATGTTTGAAAGGAATTTTGGAGACATTTCATTGACCTTAAGGCTCAATTCGATGTTCATGATGTTACATTGGTGATGTGATCACATGAATATATTCGTAGGGTGTTTTTGAGGTAGTGTGCATGCTTGGTTTAGAGTTTCGAGGGCTCGTGTGAGTTTTAGTAGGTTCTGGGATGCCTTAGGCTTTAAAAGATCAGATGTTGCAGGTTCAGGAATTTTGAC